ATCGCTTGCCTCGAGTGTGGAAGTGGAGGTCATGCCGATGACATCACCCAGGAGAGAGCCTTCATTATCAACTCTCTCATTACCAAAACTAAGGTAAACTGGGCTGCACACTTTTTCAATTCCATCTCAAAGCATTTGGGAAAGCCCAACCAGAAATATCTCTGTCAAGGACTATACCTTGGACATATTTTGGGATCTATGGGTATTGCTTCTAAAGGAAAGAAGTATGAAGAAAGATACTGGCTATACTATCTGTCTACAAAAGGGGAAAACAGAGCTGGCACTAGTGCCACTGCAGAAGAAAGCTCTTCAGATAACATCCCACTCATCCATATGACGAAGACTACCAAAAGGAAGAAAGTGGTGTCTCCCTCCATTAAAGCACCACAGAATCTTGCTCCAATAAACCTTGAAGAAGAGGAAGGATCCTCTGACCAAGGAGAACTTCAAAGGAAGAAGAAGAGGAAGATCAACTCCCCCTCAACATCTGGAAATGTCAATCCGGATGAGTTGAAGGAAAAGGAACCTGCTGAGGAAACATCTGCTCGGAACCAGAGCCCTCACCAATTTGAAGAAGAAATTCCTCAAGTCCAAAGCCTTCCAACCTCATCTCAGCATCAAACAGATGATGCAGATAACCAATTCTGGCAGCTATACTATGATTGGAAAGCCTGGAAAGTTGGAAATTCAGCAGAGCAACTGTTGAATTGGGACCAACAGCTGAAGAATGAGAAAATCATCAAGAAGTGCTTAGGAATACCAATCAACCACAACTGTGAACAGATTTTGGATGACTACTGGGTATGGCAAAGGAACCCTGAAGACTTGCATCTGGAATACCTGGCCAATACGCCAGTTTCAGACTGTTAAGCAGATGATGAAGACACTGCAGTCTTCAAGCCAGTCTTCTCAAAAGCTACAGAAGATCAAGTGGCTCTCACTTCTGAAGCAATAGCTGAGGATTTCCAAACATTTCCGGAAACCTCACCTGCATTTCAGGAAACTTCACATGCTTCTGAAATGGTTCTGACTCAAGTTGTTCAAGAGAAGGCAACCCCTCCCTCCCAAGAACAGAACCAGGAAAGAGCAGATGAAGAAGAATTTCAGCCGCTAATCCAATCTCAAGTTTTGAAGATTCTCACCACTCCTTGTGAGATCTCCAATCCTACTGAAATTGAGATCCCGGAAAAGTCAGCTGAAATTCCGGAACAGTCAGCTCTTCCAGAAACAATGGAGCAAGCTGTTGAAGCACAAAGGAATTTTGGAGAAGCTGCAAAAGAAACTCAAATGGCAGAACTAGAGGTCTCTGAAACTCAAGTAGCCATTTTTGAAGAAGAGAATACAGCTGAAGAAAGGGACTCCCTCTCTAGGGATATATCAAATTTTGTGCTTGAAACAGAAGGAGAATCTGAAAGAACACTGAAGGTTACTGATGAAGAAGATGTCCAAGAAGATGCTGAATCTCTTCCTATGAAACTCTTCCAAAGAACACCATCATCTCATCAGGTAACCAACTTTCATTTCCATAGCTCTTCCACCCCTGCTCTTCCGGATGAGATACCGGAAATCTGGACAAATAAGGTCCAAGGGCTGATTGAATCAGCCCTAGCATCTCAACATGCCTCCTTTAGGCAAGAGATAGAACAAATGGAAGTCAGGCACACCCAGCTAATAGAGAAATCTGAAGGAAAACACAGCGCAAATCTCAAAGAAATAAGCAAATCAGTGCAGAAGACTCTGGAGATTATCTCTCTATTGAGTGAAACTGTAAGCAACACGATGGAAATTTATGCCTCTGACAGTCAGCTTCATCTCAAAGAGATCAACAAAGTCAAAGAGCAAATAGCGAGTGTCACAATTAGTCTCCAAAAACAGATGTCCCTTCTCCAAATGGACATCAGATCAGCCCTAGCAGTAGCTTCTGCAAATCAGGTAGTAACCAAAGACTACTTGAAGGTGATCATTGACAATCAAAAGGAAGCATACAAGCTATTCAGACTTATTGGTGCAAACTCTGGAAACCGCAAGATGGAAGTAATTCTCCAACAACACAGTCCATCTCCAATACCACAGCTCCCTATTGCAATCAAAGAATGAGAAGTATCTTATATTCCTTCTCATGTGAACTTGACAAATCTAATCCTTGAAGCACAACAAAGGAATCCGGAAAACTCAGCACAACTTCTATCCAGCTCAGGACTGGATGGAACAGAAGTTATAGGTACAGTTGTTGACCACTTCTCAAATGATGCTCAATCAGAAGAAAGACGTGAAAATTTAAGACGCATCAAAAAACTGTGTGGGAACATGAAGGGCATCAGTGAAGTTGCCGGATCTTCAAAGCGCAAGAGAAACTGAAGGTTCTTTACATCAAAACATGGGGAAAGTATGTGAAAACACTAATTTGTTTTGATGAAAACACCTTCGTTTTTAAACATTGCTTGATTGGTTTTAAATTGCGCTTATTATGCTTAATTATGCATACATTTAGGGGGAAATTTAACTAGTTTTGGCTAACAATTATTTTTGGCAATGAATTATTGATAAGCTCAAAGCAATGGAAGATGGATATCTCAGTCTTGGTACTAAAATTGGAAATCTCCGATTCAGGTACTTTACAAAATCTGCCTTCTTAAACTAAGCTTCAGTCCTTTATTCATTTCCAACCAGCTCTAAAAGTACTGGTCCCTAGGATGTTTAAAAATGTATAGGACTTTGGAAAAATAGTACCACTTTTCTTTTAAATATTCACATTTGTTTTGGTGTTACCTCGTCCTAAGTAGAAATTAGAACTATAGGGAATGAAAAATGATAGTCTTATTTTGGGACTTGAGAACCCAATAGGAATAATTTTCCTTTAGTACGTAGCTTTCTGTTCTTTTTGGGCCACTCTTTTGGGCTTAGCCAAACTAAAACAGTTACGTTTCTCAAACCAATCGAAACTGATTTTCTAATTAAAACAGTTTCAATTCTTTGGTAACTAGTAAAAGATTCCTTTTGCTTTTCAACTTCTTGGAAGTTGAAACTCATTTGCTCTCACCGTTCCAACTACCCACTTAATGGAACCCGTGAACCTCCTCCTCCCCTATTTAAATCAAGATATCTCAATCCATTTCCATCACAAACAACTCTCTCAATATGAAAAGTCCTCAAACTCACTGTCTAAGGAACACACCAAGAAAAATACCCTCAATGGAGAAATTTTTCTTTCTCACCCTCATAGACGGCAATGGAAGAAGCCTATTGAGAAGAAAAGACTTTTAAGGTCTATGGTGAGAATCTCGGCAGTAGAGAAGGTCTATGGTGGAAATCCCGTATTTTTCAGTATTAGACCATACACCTTCTCTGGAACAACACTCTCTCTCTATCTTTCTTCTTATTTTGAGAGATGTGTTGCTTCCAAGATCTTAAATATCCACTTTGGATATTAAAGATCTATCAAACGCAACGCCAACCGCTCTGCCAAGCAGAATCTGCTGAAGCTGAAAACGGTCAATGGCGGAAGATATCACAAAATCTCAAGACAAGACTTGGTTTAGGAATTATTGTAATTTGAATTGTATTTGTTTAAGAGTTTTTGTTAACAAGCTGTATATTATGAGAAACTAAAAGAAAGTTATAAAATTAGTTCTCAGTACA